TAAAAAAAATATAGAAGTAAGAAACTATATAAAATAAATTAAACACAGTAAACAGAGAATATATAAATATATATAAAATCAGTCAACCAGCACAAAGTAAGAAGTTATTAAATACAGCTGATAGAAGACATAGGAAAAGGGAAGTGGAAAACTTGATGAAATAATTATGGCCCACAGGAAGGTAAAACAAAAAATATTTACTCCTAAAAGAAAAAAGAACAAAATAGAAGAGACTAAAGATGTGCAATGTTAAAAAAACCAATAAATGACATCATCATATATCCTTAAGTGTATTTTTTTTGTAGAAGGTTCCTGTTGTTTTTTTGTTTGTTTTGTTTTTTCCAGCATGCAAATCCTGGATGTTCACATCTGGGATCAGAACATTTTCAGGTTCCTGATCTGAACGAGCTCCATCCTTCACGCTCTGCAGCATCCGACCTCGATCTTTCTTTCTTTTTCTCCCTCCAGGTTTTGTACCGACTGAAAGAGAAGGTGCAGGTTTCTGACAGACAGCTGAAAGCTCCACCCCCTGACCTCCATCTAACCCCGACAATACCTCTAGACCCCGCCCAGAGGTCAAAGGGCACCGAGGTCACCACCACACTCCCCACCACACTCCCAGTGCTTGTCTAATGCTGGGCATACACTGTGCGATTTTTTTTTTTGGTCCATTTTGAGTGGATTTTTCAGTCGTGCGACCGTTTTGGGGATCGGCCCGAGTTTCGCCTTTATCGTGTGTCGTGCATCGCGTAGTATACACGGGGTGATGAGAAGCGATTAACACCTCACGACCAGCTCCCAATCAACAATCACAGGGTCGCAAAAAAATCAAACCTGTTTGAAATCCTGTCGGCACTCGTGAGGATGTCAATGCAGCCTCTCACAATGCGCACTCACAAACAGAAATGGAAGCGGAAAGACGGAGCAGCACGGCAGTGCAGCGTGTGATCTGGACACAAGCGATGAAAACACAACTTGTAGAACTTTGGCAAGCTCATCCGAGCCTTTTCGGTCTGGCCTCACAAATTTATCAAGACTGCACCAACCGTGAAAAGAGCTGGATGGACATTACTGCTCATTTGCAGCTGCCTGAGCAATGTTTTTCATTAGCAAATTAGCAAAGTTGATGGTTGTGTGTGTCTGTGTGAGTGAAAGACTGAGAGGGAGACCAAGAGACAGATTTTGTGTTATAAACTTCATGTTATGGACGCATAGTGTAAGCACTCAGGTCGCATCAGAGCATTGTGCTGTATAATGTGAGACCACGCATCGTGACTGACAAACCCCTGGGATTCAATTGTACAGTTTAAGCAGGAGCTGAATAACATGACAGAAAAAATTGCACAGTGTATGCCCAGCTTAAAACAGCCAGGTGGCTCAGGAATGCAACTTAACGAGTGTGTGTGTTTCAGGTGATCGTTTCAGGAAGCATGGTCCAAGCTGAGCTCCTGCCTGCTGTAGCCACACCCATTCCCCAGCAACAGCCAATCGCAGCCTGCCACCGCCTCGGTCCACCTGTCGTCCCTCTGCCAAGGTTATTTTATTTAGCCACAGACTTTTTCCCATGATGCTTTGGTAATTTCTGTTTGAGTTTTAATAAAGTGATAATCTGATTAAAAGTCGGGATTTCTCAGCTGCATAACATCTGCAGATGTTCATAATGGGAATGATCTTATGAAGCTCCACAGCTTGCTG